GGAAGCACTGTCTGACGCATCTGCCTCCGCGACCCGAAAGGAGAAGCGGCGATGGAAGATGAAGATGAAGGTGCCTGTCAGTAATCGGCTGGAAATTGGGAAAGCGTTATCATCATTATTAGCCTTCTTCGATGCACTGCAGAATGAAGGCGTCTCCAAGAAGGTCGTAAACTTCGGTTTTCTGCGATTCTTATCCATCTTCGTTCAACGAACTTTTTCAGTTCATCCTGACGTCGTCTGAAGGACCCTTGACTCTTTTATTTAACCCCGCCTAATGCCTCTCTGGTTCACCGGTGGCCGTTCTCCTTGAAACATGTACCGTTCATTACCATTTTGACTTCTTTGACCACCTTGACATTGCCACTTCTTCACTCGGCAGTGACTTCTACTTCGCAGACATCTGCTTTTGTTATTACCTATTTTTTCTTGTCTTTCTGGACACACCATTTCATGCTGCGCTGCATAATCTACGGACCCATGTTTCACACCCATAGGGTTAACGTTGAGATCACTGATCGAGGACATTCTGTTTCAACCATAAAAACAGTTTATCGAGTTAAAACATTTTCAATATCTGCTGTTTATTTTGACCGCAAACTTCTTTTTAACAACACCCTAAGACTGAGTACTAAAGCTGACTTCATCGTGGATGACTAATGATTGAAAGTGTATTGATATTTTATGGTATTTGCCTACAAATATAGCCTCCTCCATCGTGCATTCTGAATTTCATGCACTTCTGGATTCGCTATGAAACACAGTCAACGTTCATAAAGGCTAGCTTATTGTCATTTCAGGGATACCCAACGGAAGAGATGGTAGAAGCGACGAAGGAGTTTAAGGAGAACTTGACATGGTGGTTCAAAAATCGACACGTGAACTCGTTCTTCAGTCCTTTTATAGCGCCGACATTCCTTGACGGTGCGGAAGCCATGCTCCAAAATTGTGGGATCAGTCAATTTAAGCCGAACATACTTATCCTTGGCTACAAGAACAACTGGCATGACACTCCGCCAGAGGAAGTTGCGGAATATTTCCAGTTAATACAGTGAGTACCTCAATTTCTTTGTTTTATTATCTGAAACAAACCTAGATAAATGTCGCTGTGAATGCAACGGAAACGCTAAATGTCCAACTCTGCGATATATAAAAATGTGCATTATGATAAAATTAAAACAAAAAATTATTTAAGCTATACAGTGACAGACATGAGAATAGCCGTCATAGTTTATGCTGGACCTTAGGTTCCAGAGATTGTCAAAACAAGCTTTTCATAGATTTGACGCTGTTTTATCATCAGGTTGAATAGATTGCGATCGATGTATGAGATAATATATCAGAGAAGAAAATTACGCTATATATTCCCTCTTCTGCACAAAATTTTTCCTGGATGAATGAATGTAACGATCTCCAAAGCGACAGAGGTCAGGTAACAGATCTATCCGCGCTTTCATAAGCGCATGTTTTAACGCTAATCAGTGACACAGATTCCAGGGCGTACTGTGCCACAACCTTGCTCCAAGTTGATTTGCAGGCTCACTTAATTGAACGCGGTTAATCGATCACTTGAAGTAAGATGAGATGCAGATAACATAATTATATTCGCTGGAGCAATGTCATACTACTCACAGACGATGAATTAGGAGCTGGTACTCCTTACGTGCTGCAGTACAAATACAAACCATTCGTCCGGACACTGCTCAATCTAATAGTGAAGAAGTTAGGTCCTTGGAAATGCGCCCGTATTTTTCATGAACTTATTCCTAATCTGACCGGTAGAAGAAACCATTGACAAAAACAGATTTGACACCGTCGTGACCGCCGCTGACCTTCGTTCTGCGAATGTATGCGTGTGGGGAGGAGAAGAGATTATTGAGCCTTCATTTAAAATGGATGACACCAAACTTGGAGCATTCATTCTTTCATTTTTGAAGCTCGCTATTTCTTTTGGATTATAAGAGTCTATGGCTTAGCCTCAATCGTCTCAAATCTCAGATGAAAAAATTTGATGGTTCATTAAGAAAGCTATAAAGGAAGAGTTGTATAGCGCTGAGTGGTCATCGCTTCAAGACCCGCAGTTCAAAGCAGCGACTAGAAAGAATTATTAGGGTTTCGACGCTGCGTTCCAGAATCATCATAAGGAGTGTAAAAATAAAACGCCAGGAAACGATGCCAGAATAATGCTGTTCGATTTTTTAAGTTGTTGTATGTTCAGAAATCAGGTTCTCCAATGTTCATCTAGTTTTTCTGATGTAAATGTTGTGCTGTCCCAGTCATAGAAGTCATGGTTGATCTGTTGCACTGAATATTTGCATGTGAGACATGAAATTTACAGTACAAGCAGATATTAAACTTAGATACGTACAGAAAATACAAAAAGACGCTTTGAATCAGAATGGAGGTTAAAAAAAGGACGTCACTCGGGAAAATGTTCAAGAACTTCAACAGGAGAATCACGCTTACCCTAAATCACGTTAGGTGATACATCTGGCTTCTAGTGTCTCTGACTAATAGCTGACAAGATCAAATCACAAAACATTTGGGAAAAAGACAAAATAGTGGGAGCATCTGGTAGTCGTTCCGCTCTCCACTTCATAGGTACAGATTAGAACCGTATCGCGGTCTAACCTTTCCTTATTAACTGAGGCAGACACTGAACTAAGGATACATCTCACTGTATTTTGCTGCAGTTAGCTCAAAACCGGTCTACCTTCAAATAGGCGGACAGTAAATGGTGTTCTGCTGTGAATTTAACGTGAGAGCTTGTGAGGTTCATGACCTGCTCTCTCATGCGTGCCCTTTACTCCAGCCATTTGCCAGTGATCAAACCGATAACTGACTAGAAAATGCGCAGAAAATGTTGATATATTCTGTTTTATGATTTCATTTAATCCTTACCGAGAGATTCAAAGAAAATTTGGCAAAAATAATGAATGGCTTTCTTACGGGCTTTTCTGTACCTCAGGAGGTTATGGCTACTTGCGCGAATCAATACCTGTAACCTTTCTTGACATAATCCGGAAGTATGAAAGTGGAGTGGATGAAGACTAGTTCAACTTTGAGCCTGAGACTTCACTTTATATTTCCTTGTTAATTAATAACCATAATTTGCTTCCTGTCACTTGAAACGGAACTGGAAACGAAAATCCTATGGAATCGCCGAGTAAACGAATATCGGGTCAAATGGCGTGCTTCGCTTTTGTACTGGTTTTCGGTATTTCACAAGACAAATCTTTACAGGCAGTTTACTGATCATCAATGAAAATAACCATATGCAGTACAGGTCATTGAGCATAACATTCACTAATTCATTGATGTTTGCCGTACAGTCTGACTTCTAGTTTTTGAATGGCCAAATAATCACGAACCGTTTGAGAAATGTTGTTCAGCCAATCGTTGCTCGTTTGACGAGGAAGGTTTTGCGTTTGAGTAATCCGTGCCAGTTCAAAAGCCATGGCGGCGATGTTCATACATATTACAGAAGTTTCCAATGTTCTCTTGGATTTGCTTATATAGCTCCTGGGTCTTTAGAAGCAAAGGCCGATGAGAAAATGCTGTTAAAACTTTAATAAATGGCATACAGTAATTATGGATTGCGGGAACTTCGTAAGTTCTCTGGAAATAATTGTAAAACTTTGTAAAACGCATGGTAACCCTACATATGGGTAATAGCAAATTTCAGCAAACTTCTTGGACAGTTTCATAACTGTTTACTTCGTGCTAATTATAACTGGTTATTCTCTTTCTTGCATCACACGCCGTTGGTAATAATTATTGGCTAAAGCGGGGTATCAAGTAAACGTAGTGCGTAAACGAAGGGTGTCTAATTTAAATGACTTGCGGCTGTCATGAGACCATAAACGTAATCAGCGTCCTTCATGTCCCAATTCAGCTTTCGTCAGATGTGTTTCACCATAAGAAATTGTTAAACAAACATTTTTATTATCAGTTTGAAACAAATGAACAAAATAATTTTCAACATAATCAAATATTGCCTTCAAATGTAGCGCCGGCTTCAGCTTTCACTTAGCTGTGGGAATATTACGAGCATGTGGAGGCTTTAAGATCAGACTGCTATCAGAGCAGTCGGTAAAAACAGCGAATCAAGGCGATACGAAGTCGACGCAAAGCGCGGAAACGAGAATGACCGTAGAGCAGTACCAGACGGAAAGCATCGCCAACTCAAAGCAATACGGTGGCTCAAGCGATAGCATAGCTACCATGACCATGGGCATCGATATGGATAAATATATTTTTCCCGTTAATTCAACTGAGGTGAATTTCACGCCGCTCAGTGAGGTATGACTAGAAGATTTTGGTTTTTTCCTCAGTAATGTGACAGACAGTTTTAAGGCAAACGTCGGATATTGTTCAAGCACAAGCGACGTTTCCAAATCTGAGCAAATGGTAGAAAGAGCGAAGAAAAGCATGCACATTCCGGAAGGGACAACCAAACCCAGCCAGCGTCGAAGAAATGTCGTTAAAAGAATTTTGCGCCGACTTGGTAAGCAAAACAATCTTCAGCAAGAACACTTCGCCACGAAGATACGGAAAGGAACGATTGACGTTTGGTGGCTATACGACGACGGAGGTGAGTAGAACGTTTGAACGGCCTGCAGCAATATGCTTGCTGATGCATATCAGTTGTGAAAAGTGACTCATGGGTACAAAATTATCTTAAACGACGAGTTGGAGTATTTTATCAGAGGCGTCATTTGACCCTGACATACCGTCAATCAATGTACGTTATCACGAAGCTTTGAAAGAAACGTCATAAGGCAGGATTTATCAGGTTCAGATCATTCAGACAGCGTAAATGTCTTGTTTTCTCACAATTTCCTGGTATCATCCAGCAATACCCTCCCTGGATGTTTATTCAAAGTCGATCAAAGAATTCGTGGCATATATAATTTATTATTCCTCCTTTGGCGATTAATACGAAAGGTAACCTTTACCTCATCCGTTCAGGATTTCATCAGAGTGTCCTACCCGAACTAAGACTGCTAAGAGGGGTATATGGATATCCACAAGCCCGGATTGCCAGTCTGTTTAGTCAACCATTTCAAGATGCATGACAGTGAGTAGACATTCAACCGTGTCTCGTCCTGCAAAACAATTCTCTGCTTTAGTCCATAACCCGTTTTCTGCTGTTGAGATTGGACAGCTGCTATATGCAGTGAATGTCATCCATTGCCAATTCATTTGATGATACAATACTGTATTTTAATTTTTATTGCTCTAGTATTGCGAGTTATATCAGTTTGCCCCTTTTACCATGTTTCACTGATATTGGATACGCAGGATGGCTTTGAATTCCCCAGGTTCAGGTTTCGATGTCATGAAACAGGTCAAAATATGTCTTAACCACCACTAATTGGAATTCAATCCATGTTCCATCGGTGCAACCAGCCAAGAAACAGGTAGCTAGTCCCTGACTTGCCAATTCCAGGAGCATCATCGT